ACTTCTTTTAGCAACCTGGATGTAAGCCATGCGATGATTTATCCACGACAACCTAAATCAGCATTTCCATTTCATTCTGCCTGTAAATTTTCATTCCATCAAGTGCTTCTACCATCTCTGCTGCCACCTATATTTAGTTAGCACCATCTTTCTCAGTAAACACTAATACAAAATATTAATTAAATACATCGGCCTTGCCCTTCAAAGCAGACATTTATATCAACTCATTTGTCCCTCACAGCTCACTCTGTTTCTTACTACTTGCTTATGTTTATATTGCCAAAAGAAGATTTAAGGTTTCTTTTGATATTAATGACCATTTTATTCTCATCTTCTCTCTCTCCATATTGTTTCTCTGCTCAACTTGCTATATTTGCCCTGGTATTTTGAAGAATTCATTCAGCATGCATCGTACAGCCTCTTTTTTGTTTCATCTTTTTCTCTATTTCCCTTATCATCGGAGGAACCTGTCTTTCACTCCCTTACATTTTCCCTTCTTGGAATGTTGGTAATCTGAACCTGAAACATGCTCTCTTTAAGGATCCCCCAGTAGTGAAAATTAATATTTGTAGCTGGTTAGAATTTAATTATTTATAGAGGTCAGAGTTATTTTCCAATCTCCATAAAAATGTTTTGTATGAGTAAAAGTATAACCCAAACGTACGTGTTGGAAAATGGTGGTCAGCTATCACTACTGCGTGTGACTTTTGATCATTTAAGAAACTGCAGCAGTGAAGTTGAGTGGAAATTCTTAGCAGACTCACCAGCAGAAAGGACAATGCACATGATTAAAACTAAAGTTACATCTCACATTTTGACAAACTTTGCTAATTGACAATAAAATGAGGTGCTTTATATTGGTCGATATATTTTGCCACTGGCTTTAGATTGTCATGTTGTTCCTGGTTTTATATACATCTGCTGCAACGTAAAACACAGATGTCAGCATAGATTTGTGTGCTGAAATCGATAGGGTGAAACATGAACTCATAACCATCTGACTCAGAGGCAAAAGTGCTGCCAGCTGAGTCCAGGCCACGCGTGCACATTATTTGTCAGTATTTTGTCTTCTGTGGCCCAGTTTCCTGTCTCTGGGGTTGACGAGAAGGTCAAATAATTGGGAAGAAAGAAAGCAAAATACTCAGATGCTGGAAATTTGAAAGAAACACAGAGAATGCTGGAGAAACTCAGCCAGTCTGGCAGTATCTGTGAAGAGAGAGAGAAACAGAATTAGCACTTTGAAGTATGGCTTCGGATTGGGCAGGCTGGCCCCAGAGGAATGCTCCCCTTCATCCTCAGTAATTAAATTGTGGGTGAGAGGGTCCATGGATAACCTTCTGGACCCACCACTAATAAACCCCCTTAAATTGTCAATCATCCACACCTTAAGGGCTTAAACTTGTCACTGGCCCAATTACCTGCTTTCTTGACCAGAACAAATGTGGCTTATTTCCCAACAAGGAAACCAGGGCAATGTGCCAGCTGGGTTGGGGGCTTCATTTGCCCCAGTCTGGGGGCAATCAGAGGCAAGGATGGTTGCTGCTACAAGCCATGTCCATGCTTCTAATTCCCTCTCCCTGTCCCCCTACCACACAAGCCCATCCAGGAAAACACTTACCTGCTCGCAGCCTGTGCCTCAGTAACAGACTGATACGCAACAAACTTTACATGGCGTTGTCTGGCAGTATCACCATGTAAAATGGGACAGACTTCAAACAGATCTAGGAACTCAAGTCTGGGCTTCCATGAGGTGTTGTGGGCATTAACAGCAGCAGACTTGTACTCCAACTTATTCTGCAACCTCATCGCCCAACATAGTCCCCACTCAACCATTACCATCAAGCCAGGGAATCAATCCTGGTTCAATTAAAAATGCAGGAGGGCATGTCAGGATCAGTAGCAGGCAACCTAAAAATGAGGTATCAACTTGCTGATATGACAAAAAAAATCTACTTGCATGCCAAACAGTATAAGCATCAAGTGATAGATAGAGCTAAGCAATTCCATGACTAATAAACCAAATCTAAGCTCTGCTGCCCTGCCACATCCATTCATGAATAGTGGTGGACAATTAAATAACTCAGTGGAGCTGAAGGCTCCACAAATATCCCTATTCTGAATGATGGATGAGGGCATCAGTGCAAAAGATAAGGCTAAAACAGTTGCAGCAATCTTCAGCCAGAAGTGCCGAGTGAATGATCCATCTCAGCCTCCTGCAGTGGCCCCCCGCATCACAGGTACCAGTCTTTGGCCAATTCAATTCACACCATGTGATATCACGAAATGGTTGTAGGTACTGGATACTGCAAAGGCTATGGGCCCAACAAAATGCCAGCGATAGTTCTGAAGACTTGTGCTCCAGAACTTGCCGCTCCCTTAGCCAAGCTGTTCCAGGGCAGCTACAACATTAGCATCTACCCAACAATGTGGAAAAATGCCCAAGTATGACCTGTACACAAAAAGCAGGGTAAATCCAACCCAGCTAATTACCATTACATCAGTCAATTCTTGATCATCAGTAAAGTGATGGAAAGTGTTACCAAGCAGCTCCTGTTCAGCAATAATCTGCTCAGTGACGTCTAGTTTGGGTTCCACCAGAGCCACTTGGCTCTTGACCTCATTACAGCCTTGGTTCAAACACGAACAAAAGAGTTAAATTCCACAGATGAGTTGAGAGTGATAGCTCTTGACATCAAGACCATATTTGACTGAATGTGGCATCAAGGAGCCCTAACAAAACTGGAATCAATGGGAATCAGGGGGCAAACTCTCCACTGGTTGAAGTCATACCTGACACGTGGGAAAATGGTTATGATTGTTGGAGGTCAGTTATCTAAGCACCAGGATATGTCAGCAGGAGTCCTCAGAGTAGTGTCCTAGACCAACCATCTTCAGCTGTATTATCAATGCACAATGTTCATCACCATTTTCAACTCCTCAGATACTGAAGCAGTTCATGTGCTAATACAACAAGGCCAGGCTTGGGCTGACAAATGGCAAGTAACATTTGCACCACAGAAATGCCAGGCAATGACCTTCTCCAATAAGAGACACAACCTAATCACCGCCTCTTGACATTCAATGGTGTTACCATCACTGAATTTCCCAGTATCACCATACTTGGGGTTACAATTGTCCAGAAATTCAACTGGACTTGCTATGTAGACACAGTGGCTACGAGACCAGGTCAGAGACTAGGAATACTGCAGTGAGTAACTCACTTCCTGACTCCCAAAACCTGGCCATGATCTGCAAGCCATAAGTCAGGAGTTTGTGGGAATACTCCCCATTTGCCTAGTTGGAAGCAACACTCAAGAAACTTGACACCATCAGGTCAAAGAACGTGATTGGCACCACATCCACAAACATTCATTTACTCCACAACAACAGAAATTGCTGGGAAAACTCAGCAGGTCTGTTAGCATCTATGGAGAGAAAGCAGAGTTAACATTCAGGTCCAGTGACCTTTCTTTAGAATGGAAGGGTTCTTTGGTTCTGAAAAATGAGTCACTGGACCCAAGCTGTTAACTCTGCTTTCTCTCTATAGATGCTTTCACACCTGCTGAGTTTTCCAGCAATTTCTGTTTTTGTTTTTGATTTACAGTATCTGCAGTTCTTTGATTTTTTCTTTCATTTATTCCACCACTGA